TCCAGTCAGAGGCTACAGAATGCAATTCTGGATTTACTTTGAGAAGGGTAAATGTTGATCTTTCAAAAGGCAAATTCAGACGATGCTTGCACAAACTATAATAATACTAACGCTTTGTTCACAGAAATCTTTGAATCCGAACTCGAGCGCACAAATGCTCAAATTATCATCGAGAACCAAACGTTAAAACATGAGAACAAGCAACTCAGCATGCTCCTCAAGGAATACGAAGGAACTCTAGAGACTATCATGGTTAAATTTCGGAATCACGCTGTACGTTTACTAGATATTCGTTCCGTGCTAGTCTAGACACACACACACAAAAATCTCTTCTGTTTCCATGTTCATAGCTAGCCGCACAACAACACGAGTCTACACTCACACGACACTATGAAGCCCTTATCCTCGCACGGGAAACGCAAGACCTTTCTTCCGACCTGGTTTCCACAGCAAACATGACACACTCTCTACAGCGTATATCCCGCTACCTCCGCGATCTCCTACTTTCCATGGCAGGCGAACCCGTCAATTCCGACCCCGATTCAGAATATGAAGGCTTTGTTGACCCCGCAGAGCTGTCAACCTTATTAGACGCACTGGCAGGTCCGAGCGGCGCTAGCAGTGACGACGAAGACCAAAAAGACACACCCCATTACCCAGAACTCGAATTCCGTGCAGATTGGGCGCTGGAGCGGGAATACGAAATCGCGAGACTAGAAAAGGAGAATGAGGAATTGCGCAAGGTGCTGGGAATTGACCCGGAGAGTATCGCTGCCTCTGGAGTCGATGTCGAGGCGGAAATCCGACGAATGGATCGTGGGCGTCATCCTGAGCTTAAACAGCGGAGAAGAGAAGCGGCAGGCCATATGTCGACAGACAGTGGGGAATGGGATAGGAGTTTCAATAATAACACTCCAGTATACATGTGGGACGCATCGAAGGTTCCAGGCAACCCTGGAAACCAATTGCCTCCACAGTATACTCCAGAAGTGTCGATATCTGGTGGGGCGCCGTTACAGCGTTCGATGGAGCTTCCGATCTTAAGAACGGCGGCACAAGGTGCTGCAGGGCCAAGGGGATTAGGTCCAGGTCCACAGCGGTTGCAATTACAGCAGCAGCAGCAGCAGCCGAGAGGTACGTGGCTTTCTAGTGCGGGAAGAGGTGGTCCACCTTCACATCCCTCGACTTGGACGACTTGGACGCCCCAGCCAATTTCGCCTCAGCCACACTCTCCTTCGCCGCAGACTATCAATGATAGACCATGGCCGATCCAGGCAGGCTCTGGAATGGACATGGGGCGGTGATGTTTTTCGCCCTCACATATCGCTTGCATGTAAAATATCTTATGTTGTATTACTCATTATTTGAACGTCGCATTGCTTTCTCGAATCAACGCTGGCTATCATAGAACTACCCGGTTATTATCTCGTACTCGTCACCTCGACTCGACCTCTTCGCTGTCCTCGTCACTAAATTGGTTAAAATAAATTTACCCTGCCTAATCCACAGTTCCGCCCCGGTTTCGAGTGGTCTCACGCCGCAGTCCTCCTTAAGAGGTTGTGGCTTGAGGAAGGAGTCTCTAACGAGGTTTCCCATTCAACCAGGGGTCACTACCAGGTTAATTACTTATTGATACGTTCTGCAGCCCTCCATATGGAATGAATAACCGAATGCGGTCCAATAAGTGCAGGCAGCTTCTTACTGCTTCGTGTATGCTTAATAAACAGAGAATATCGTGTTTTGAGTAAAAGAAAAACGCGTGATATATAGTTACATCCACCTGTGATTAGAAAAGTTGTTCATATATAAGCTTCAAATGAAGGGTGTACTCCGCCTTTTATTTCTTGGAAGGAGCACTCCTCAAGCTATTCCATCGACGACTAACAGAAGACAGCAAACCCGGCTCCTCCGACGGAGGGGTCGTGGGCTGCGATCTAGCGCCGGAGGTGCTTCCCGAAGCGGAAGGCGTTTTATCAGTCTGCTCATTCGCAGATTGCTCTCCAGATGCATCGTCTGTTCCGGGGTTGTTCGTAGCTTGTATAAGCTCGACATCTCTGGGACGACCATGAATATCGTAATCCCAGGTGGCCGGAAGTATAGCGATAGGAAGCAGCCATGTAGCTGTCAAAACTACCCCGTGGCCTTCATCCTTTGCCTGTACTCGAGTCCAAGACCAAGCGACAAAAGCTCCGACATAGCCTAGGTATGGCGACATCCGCTTCAACATCATAACACCAGCACGCATCTGCAGAGGAATAACCATCAGAGGGACTTGGTCAATGAGCCATTTGAGAGCTGCGGTGATCATCGCTCCTCGTTTCGCAGCTGCGATGTGTGTGGAGGAGAGCTGAGCGAGAATTGGAGGAGGCAAGAAGAGCCTGTAACCCCACCAAGTGACTTCAAGGGAGATCTGAGTAGAGGAAGGATAAAAAGTTCGTTTTGGTTTCGGTGCAGGTTTGTCGACTGGTTTGGGAGTGGTAGGTGGAGCAGGTTCTGTAGATGTAGTCTGATCATCGTCAGAGGGACTAGAAGGACCAGCTATATCCTCGTCATCGACGTATTCAAGCTCTGATTCAGCGATTTCTGGCTCCAGATCTTTGGTAGGCTGTAATGGTGTGTACATCATAATGCCCTCCCCTTCTCCTTCGTCTATCGGAGGATCAGTAGCTTTTCCCTTTCCTTTATCGGCTGCCCTGTTGGCATTGGGATCTGCGGCGCCAGCCATGGCTCCCAGTTTGTCCAACATGGCCCAGACACTTTCACGGCCTTTCTCGAGTCCTTTGCCGACTTCGCCGTTCATGATGGATTCGGTAGAAAGAAGTTTAGCAAGCGTTGCATCGAGACCACCGAACATCGAACTGGAACTCGCACTCGCATTGGCAGGAGGCGTCGCAGGAGGCGTCGCAGGAGGGATACGCGATTCCGTAGGAGGGTCGTCTGGTCCTGAAGTAGAGGAACTTTTTCCGGCTCCAAAAGTGAACTGTTCATCGATCAAGGATTTGATCCTCATAGCCAATGTACGAGAGTCTGGTGCATCCTGATCTCCATTTCCATCCGCTTCTGCTCCTTGTTCTTCAGGGGCAGGACTCTTTTCCTTTTCCTTTTTCGCTGCTTCTTCTCGAAGAGTAATCGCTTTTACTTCTTCTCTCCATTTATCTAGTCCAGCTCTATATTTTTCAGATTTCTGGTCCCAGTCAGATGCACCTGAACCACTCTGTGGTGAATCTGATAATTCCCAGGTGCTCGGAGGAAACGGAGGTTCTGGGGTAGATTTGAATCCGCTGGTAGTGAATGTTTTGAAGCGGGTAAAGGCGGAGACTTTGGCTTTGGGAATGGTTGGAGAGATGAAGAGGCTGAACTGTCTCCTGTCTGTTTATCTGGAGACGACATGGTGGTTAAAGATGGAGATTGTCTGAGGTATCTGACGTCATAGTGATGCACAAAGGCGCCGATGCGCAGCGAATCACGATCACGGGGCGGTCACGCTCGCGTTTCTTCTCATCCCAAAACAAGGTGCGATCTTCGAACAGTACTCCCTCAACTATTAAATATGCCCACTCTTATCCTTGATCTTCACATCCGACATCTCAAGGATTATTATTCTGTGCATTACCGCTCACCATGCTGAACATAGCAGGGTTTGCGACGAGAGAGGAAAATGAACACAAAGCTATCATCTATGATTGATGTAAATAGGACTCAAGAGCAGATTTAAAGCGGAGGACTGATTATTATTAATGAAGGCTCGATGTCATGGCTGTTGTGTTGTATGTACTACTCCGATGCATAGTCTCTTCAACTTCGCTGTTCTCTTCTCAACGACTTCTTCTTCTTGCACCTGCACCAACTTCGACTCCGCTTTCGGAATGAACTCAAGCTGACCGAGACTTGCATCAAACCTCCCTTCTAGTCAACCTTCAATTGAACACCTCTTTCCTTCTCGCTGCGTGTTTTACCATCGTGGGTACCCATCTGTGTTATTATCATTCTCCACATCTCCTCTTGGTAGTCAATTGCCGCTTCCAGCGTCGACCATTGGATGTCTTCTATCGCGGCTGTGAACTGCGACCAATTGTCATATTCATTTCCAACGCGCTGCTGCAGTACGTTTGGCATCTTCTTCCACACGAAGTCCATGTATGCACACGTATCTGCAATTTCTGCATACGTCGCGAGCTGCAAGAGTTGGTTGGCATAGTGCTCGTGCCAGGGCATGTTCGAGTCAGGGTGGATCTTCTTCAGGTCATCGATGGTGATGGTCAACGCAAGTAACTCATCTCGATAGACTCTGGACGATATCGGTTTCACTGCCAGAGATGGGAATTTGGCATTGAACAGCTTGGAGAACTCCTCCCAGGAATCTTCTCGCTGCTCATCTGTGAGCGTGTTCGTGTACCAGTTATAGGCCCTTGAGCCGTACTTCAAGTACAGCCCTGTGTGGTATACGTAGTCTTCGCAGCCCACCTCCATGCAGTGTCGTTCCAGGGCTTGTAGGAATTCCATTGGCTGTCGCTCTTCAAGCTCGCCTGTGAAGACGTCGGGGGCGACCATTTCTCTGTGTGCTGCCAATTTTTGTTTCGGTGCTGGTATGTGTCTGTGATTGTGCCACTCACCAGTTATGGGGATTGTTTTTCCAAGCTGGTTTTTGTTCAGTGCTGTATGTCTGGGTTCGCTCTCGTCGCAAGACGCCTTGGTTGATTATCTGCTGCTAGTCTCGATGTTGTGGTTGTTGTGTTGTATCGTATGTACTTACTGTAACGTAACGCATGTACTTTTAATTGACCGGAAAGTCCGTGCCGGGTTTTAATACGCTAGTCCTTACTCTCAGACTCTAGTTTCATGAAGTAGAGGCAAGCATCATGCAGCCTAGTATAACTGGTAAGTACTTTCCAAAAACAACCAAACAAATGCTACTGCCGAAGCCGTTTTACCTGACCTATCTTGCAACCACATCACAAACCTGTCAAGAAAGAGAGATTGCAACAAAACATCAGGGCCTAAACCGACGACGGGGATCGAACCCGCAACTTCAGCCTCCTAAGAATGCTAAGGAACTGGGTTTATAGGAAAGCTACGCGCTACCATTGCGCCACGCCGGCATATCAGAACTCCATATGGACTTCACATTTTATCGCAGAGTATATAACTTTCGACGCGAGCAACAAATAGGCTGTTATCCGAACACCACAACAACAGCAAACCCTTAGAGCAAGTTATTATACAAGGTCAGATTCAATGGCGTCAAACCCACGGTTTACAGCATCACGAGGCAGGAGAATGAATTCCGGGTCTCGCTGTGCGCAACAAATACCCATTCCTGATTCCGACTGGCGTAGTGCAGCTGCTAGACCGGCGTGACAGGACGCAATAATAAAAACCCCAGCACCGAAGTCACTCGGCGCGTGTCCACCTCAATCACCAGCGTCCAGTTAACATCTTGTTGTATTTCATCAAGCACGAATGCTGCCTATAATCTGTTCATAGACACATTTCAGACAAAAAACTGAAATCGATTCAACGATGCCATACCTATCGTATGAACACGATTGCAGGTGCAAGAGTTTTTCAAGAACAGGGGTTGCTGGGGGCAATGCATGATTGTAGAATGTTGGTATCCGATGTCGTTGAAAAAGTGTAGCTGATTCTTGTCGAGGAAGAGGGCCGCGGCGATGGAATGGACCGGGGCGTCTTGAATCGAGGGTTCACTGTCATGATAACTAAGGAAAAAACAAAACAGACTGACCTCCCCATCGCTAAATTGTTCGTTGAGTCAGTCATCCAAACTAGGCAGAAGAAAGCAAATGACCTCATAGTAGAATCCACCTTTGGAGTCTAAAAACTCGAAAAATTTGGTATAAGCTTCACTGCGCCAAAAGTCCATATCTGAGATCTCAAAGTTGCTCCAGACTATAAAATTGTTGTCAGTATTAGATATAAAGGGAATAAAGATACTATACACTTACAGTGACAAAGGTTATATGTATCGCCTCCATTGTCACTGATAAACCTCATAGCGTTATTCTCAGCGATGTATTGTGGATATTGTTCCATGAATTCTGCAGCAATAAAGGGTCAGAAGTAGTTCTAGGCGATAGATAAAAATGAAAACCTTTTACCGCATCCCATAGCGTTAACACTGTTCGATGAAGTTCTACGAGGGTGATAGTGAATCCTATATTCATGGTAAGTACCTAATTATCATGGTAGAAAGAGGTAACTTGCCATAAGTTTTGTTATTCTCTTCAAGGTAGTCGAAAGGGTCATAGTTGATTTCACAGAAGTATTCAACGTCGGGCCTGTTAAAAATCGTAGGTAATAAGTTTGGCATAACAGAGTCATACGTACTCGATACGCCAATAATATCGGTAAGGTTGAAGGAGTGGATGGCGGAAGAAGAACTACAGCAGCGAAAGTCGCGTTAGGATCATTCCGGGTTATCTTATAGACATAGACCGACTCCAGAATTACTGTATAGAGGCGATAGTTAGAAGTGAGATCGAAAGCCTAACTCAAGATTATAGCTTACAATCGACACATATTTCGATAAGATACACTGTCTGGAGAAAATATGGAGTTAGAAAATAACAGTGTCATTAACAAGCAAACATACCTGCATAGATGACATCCAATTCTTGCATTGCCTTGCGCCCTTGCTCTGCTCTAGCTTCGTCTATCCATTCTGGTTGATACCAGTGACGAGCAGGTATCACTCCAAACTGAACTGATGCATTGGTCATGGTCATGACGTCTCTGTAACGCAAAGGATTAGGGAAACGGTAGAAAATGAAAGATCAAAAGCTTTTACGCTTTGAATTCATCTGTGAATTCCTCTTCATTCAGGAAAACCCAAGGATATTTGTACCGCGAATTGAAATGTCTTTCCACACTTCTCATGCTTTTCAATACGCCCTGGAGATCAGAATTGCGGGCAAGGAATACGAGGGTCGCATTGGCCTTTCCTGGTATTGGCGGTGGGAGAGATTCTGAAGCGGGAGGACGGGCTGTGATAGGGTACTTGGATGTAGTGTTTGGAGTAGACGAATATAGATGGTGTATGGCTAGTGAGCGTATATCGTCTCGTAAGACTGAGAAACCCATGTACAGAACAAGAATCTAGGTCCGTCAGTACGATGGAATGAGCCGAGATATCTCTTGGGACTCACGAAAGAAAAAAGAAAGACGATGAGGCGTAATCTGGAACCAGTGACAAAAGCACTAGCCAGAGCCATGGTGGTTGAGGGTAGAGATATAAATAAACGGTTCCCGAACTATCGGGCAGCTCCACAGTTTCTTCCGATGCGAATTTGTGCATAGTTCGCAGTGGCAGAGTCTACAGTAGGATTCTACAGAGGTGGTAGCAGCCGGGAGCAGTTTGGATATGGCGCTCGGCGTCAATGCCCATGCCGAAAGCAGCAGATCAGATCGTCTGCAGTGGTTAAATTCTGGTTTTTTATTTATGTGTGTACTAAAGTCATCGGGGCTGCTCATCAACTTGATTACATATAGCCCGTCTCAGCAGGTGAAGTAGGTGAAGTTTAGCTTAACAGTACTAGCAGTGGGCCAGTGCTATCGCATGACACTGACAGTTACTCCTATAGGGCGTAATGTAATAAGTATCAATACCTCACCGCTTCCAAAGTCAAAGGCGTCGAAATCCTGGCGTTCTCCATCCGCGCAACCCCCGCCTCGAAAGATCTCAAATATGATCTCAACAACCGCGTTCACCGTTGAGATCAATCATCAGGTATAACTTGGAGTCGCAAGGCTGTGATGAGAATGAGAATGAGCGCAAGCCTCTTGGAAGCGTCATTCAGCATACTAAAAACCAGTAATCTTCTGCCAGTTCAGTCTCTCGTCCCTCAGGTACAGTTTGCCGGTCAATCTGTGTTCCTTGTGATATTGCTCTACAATTCTCATGACTGGGGGGGCTGGCAGCAAGCGGCAAAGGGCCGAACCTTTTAACTCTAAGGTTAGGGTTGCCAAAACGGGACCGTGAGAATGGTTTGGAAATACTTTCATCTAAGGAAGCCAAACCTAAAGGTTCGGCAAAAAAATGCGCTCTGCTCTTCTTTTTATACTCCTAGCAAGCTTCATGCTTGCTGTGTTCCCCATACCAGTGTCAGGGCCCTCACATAAAGTGTTGGATATTCGGTCCGCGGTATATGGCCGCCGGTATGTACAGCTCCAATACCGAGTAGATATCAGACCCGAGTTCTTATCATTTGTTTTAACTTTTATTTCATTGATACGGATTTCTACTTATACTGTACGTATCGACATTCCCTTCTTTTCCTCAGCCTTCATCACTTCTGGCTGAGGTATGTCTGTTATACTTATGCTTTATGCCATTTATGCTCACACTATACCTATAGCTTAGTTGTACTACGTACTAACGTGTCTCTTAGGTATGGTAATATGATTTAGCCTTCATCACTTCTGGCTGAGCTTAGTTGTACTACGTACTAACGTGTCTCTTAGTTCCAACAGGTTATGGGCCCCGAGTCCGCCTGATACAGCCAGCCTTATAGTGATTACTGGAATCAAATCTTTTATCTTCTCTTCCTGCATAACCCTCATCTCTATCGATGTCTACTACCCCTTCCGCTCCTACTACCCAACCTACTCAGACTACTTCGAGTACACAGACCACTATGACCGCGCCGACTATTCCGAGTGATTGGACCATCCCTAGTGGTGGAAATTCGCTCTTCCCTTGTGACACTAAGCTCAAAGGTGAAACAAATTTTTCGTCTTGGTCTGCCGTCTTCCTCGCTGGTGCTCGCACAGTAGGATGTCAGTCTATTTTGTCGGGCACGCTTGTTTGTCCTCCCGATACCGACACTAAGTATCTTATCTGGCAACGGATGGATTCTTATATGATGAACATGCTTCTCCAGTGTATCTCTGAGAGCATGGTCAGCATGGTAGAAGGTCTTACAAGCGCTGCCGCCTATAAACGACTTTCGGGTACTTATGGTCCTCAGGGTTCTGGTCTCATCATGATGTTCTTCTCCCGACTCACCCGCCGACTTCCGCTCCAGCATAGCTTTGATTCTTTGTCTGCCCATCTTCAGGGTTTCGAATCCGCTCTGCAGGATATCTGGAAAGCTGGGTACATTGTGGAGGAAGGGTTTGCCTCTGCTATTCTTGTCACTACTCTCCCCAATGAGGAAGGTGCGACCGGGTCTTGGCACACCTGGATCCGCAGTTTCTCTCTCACCTCCAGCACTACTCTTGAGTTGACTGTCCAACAGATTTTAGGTTCTTACCGTTCAGCTCATCCTGACGAGAACTCTAATTCCGGCATGTCGAACGTAGAAGCTGCCGTCGCTGTGCTCGAACGCTCCTATGCGGCCCGTGGAGATTATTATTGTGTCAACTGCCACACTCCCGCTCACACCAAGGATTTTTGCCGTAAGCCCGGTGGTGGGAAACATGCTATGGAGGCTAAGGAGGTAACAGAAAGGGGAAAAATAAGAAGAAGGGCAAAGAGAAAGCCCACCATGTGGATAGTGGGGGAGGAGGTGAAACTGAGCAGTCTACCTCATCACATTTCGTAGAATCTTCTTCGGGCGCCAATATTATCGATTTCTCTGCTTACCCGGTGACTGAGACTTCTACAAATGTGAATTCCTCCCAGCCTATGTCTGAGTCAGTGTATCCAGCTGGTACTACTGCCGATAGGCCTCCCATCATTATCGACTCTGGTACTACATCTCACATTCATTCTGTTCGTGCCGACTTCACGTCTTTCCACCATCCAGCCATTTCTCAGAAGGTTACTGGATTTGGTCATGGTACTATGAAGATTGCAGGTTGAGGTATAGCCGTTTTTCTTGCGCGTCGTCGCCATCGTCAACTTGTCCGTCTCAATCTGAAGGACACTGCTTTCGTTCCTGACTCCTCTCCTACCCTCATTTCCGTTTCCCGACTCGACGTAGCTAAGTGTTATACTGTCTTTGGCGCAGGGAAATGTGTAACATTCAGTAAGGATGATGCTGGTACTTTTATCCAGCGCCTTATTGATGAGGAGGATGTTGTTTTCACTGGAACGAAGGACAATTCTCGACTTTATCACCTTGACTCTGCTCCCTCCACC